CTTCAAATGCTCCTCTTGTTTGATGCTGCTGGTAGATGACAGCTCTGTGTAACATACGGAGCCGTTTCAAAGCTCCTTAGACTTGTCAGAAACTTCCTGTCTTCCTGGGAGGCTGGAACCCAGCGCTGCTCCGCTTTTCACTTGGCAAAACGCAGTAACGTGATCCATCTGTTGGCTGTTGAATCGGAAACGAAGAAAACCAAAATCCCTGTAGAGAGCGATGTGCCCGTGTACCTGTCGTGGAGCTTGTGATAATGGTGGACTGAAGGCTGGAATTCTGTGCAAGCAAATCTGTTGGAAGAATTCACCCTCTTGCAGAGCTTTCGCAGGGCATTTGATGGCCCCATAGTCAGATGTTCATGCTGCCAGGTTGAGGCTGGGTGCACACGTTCAAGGCACCAAAGCATCTCTGTTCCTGCCCAAATGGCACTACAAGAAAACAAAATTGCTCTTAATTATGCTTGTATACCTGTTTAAATGCCTTTAGCATAAATATGGTCCTATAAAGAGGACATGGTGAAGCTGGAAGACCCACATGGCTTCTTGGCTGTTGTTTTGGCCGTATATCATGGGCAGGTTTCCTTCCTGTGTTTTCTCACACCTAAAGTAGAAATTAATGACAGCAACTTCCTGTGCAAATTGTCCCAAGCCTCAGCGTGATTCAACATGCCGTGTTTGTGCTGAGTAATACTATTAGAGCTGAAAATAATAAAAAGCGCTGGAAAAGCATGTCTTTGAGGCAGCGTGGCCAGTTGCGCTGGCAGGAGAGCCTCCAGTGACCAGCAAGGGAGATGGCAGCGGATGCCACGAGCAGCTTGGGCAAGGAGGGCACTCCTGAGCCCCAGCCCCTGGCACAGAACAGGTCGCAGCAGAGCAGCAGCTCCGCAGAAGGAGCCGGCCGGTGTTTGGAGACGCTCCGAGATGACCCCGTCCACGGCGAGCTGGGTGCTTAGGTGCTCTCCTTGCTTGCGGATTTGTTATGGGGAATATTTTAGCAACCTCCCGGCCCGAGTCGCTGCTGCGCCTGGCAGGCTGCTGGTCCCTCGAGGCAGGGGCCGTCCAGGTTTGCCCTCCGCAGAGCCCGGCACTGTCAGCCCTGGCCCAGCCGCCGATCCAGGGGTGCTGCTGCCGCGCAGCTCCAGCACAGCCGCAGCTTTCCCTGCGGAGCAGCCTGCCGCATGCAAGGCCGCACAGAGGAGCTCTTCTGGCCTCAGCCTGAACCTTGCCTGTTAGGAAAAAATAAACCCTGGGCAGTTGAGTGAAAGGTAAAAGAAAAGATGTTTTCCTGGAGGCACCTGTGATGCCCTCAGCCTTCTAGGAACAGGGGAACAGGGGCAGGGCTGGTGGCCCTGCATTGCCACCTCCATCCCATGTCCTTCCAGGAGGAGAGGAGAAGGGCGGGGGACAAGGAGGGCTTCATGGCACCTTTTTTAAAAAAAATAACTTTTTTTTTTTTTTTAAATAACTACAATGTTTGTAATTGCAGCTGTGCACAGGAAGAGCTGGGCAGCACTGTCCGCCGTGGTGCTCGGGCACCTGCACAGGGTGGGACCAGATCCGGAGTCAAAATAGACCCCGAGCTGTCCCGGGCTCTTCCTGCTCCTCACCGCAGCCGGCAAAGGGAGGTGCAGGGACATGCGTGAGCCCCTTTTGGAAACACTGGAGCTTAAAGGAGCTCCCCCGGGCTTTGCTTTGCACCTATTATTCATCCTCTGCTCAGCCAATAATTTGTATCTTGCTGCACCCAGCGCTGGGGCTGAACCGCTTTTGCCAGCGCGGCTGGAGAGCGTTTCCCAAGGGAAATCAGCTGGGGGTTACGCCGAGGCCACGGACGAGGCTCTCCCTGCCCTCCCTGCTCGGCAGCGCGTTGCGAACCCCAGGGGATTCCTGCTGCTGCCGCAGCCCTCGCGAAGGCAAAGGGTTTGGGCTGTGCGAGGACAGAGGCAGCAGGTGGGTGTTAACCAGGGGGGCGGGTGATGCAGGGAGCAGAAAAGGCCATGGGGGAAAGGAGAGGAGCCGCAGAGACTGGCGAAAGCGCTGGGCTCCTCTGTTGCAGTGTGTCCTTTCTGCCTTGGGCTGCAGCCGTGTTTCTCTGCAAATAAGTCTGCTTCCAGCACCCCTCCCTCTAGCTAACAGCACCCAGAGTCTGCCCATCTGGATAGAACCTGCCCTTTGCCATGTTTGTTCGTGGCAAAGCCTCAACTCTTGGTCTGGAGCAACCTGGGTTTCCATCCCACGTGGAAATGTGTCCTTCGCTGTGGATGTTCAGTCATCCAAAGTGATAAGTTTAGAAAGTCCCTCTTTGATGGCGGTTGCACCCGTGCCTGTTGTGCAGGAGCCTCGTCTGCATTTGCAGGAGTAATTGCAAAAATTGATTCACAGGAAATGCCCGGACTAGGCAGATCCTTTTTGACAGGTCACACAGCCCTCGTATCCTGCATTTGTCTGAGGCGATCAATGTTTTGGTGCATATTTGGGTCATAAATATTCTGATATCAGTTCCGTTTATTGTTCTGGCAGCTTCGTTCCATTAACTGTTATTTATTATGCTCTGTTATCCTTTTGTTTTACACCTTGTGGAGCTGTCAAGTCAGCTGTTTACTAGTGACAAAGCTCATAGCTTTGTTCAGAGCAGAATCTCCCCAAAATAATTTCCCTGAAAGGATCTAAATAACAGCAGGACACATTAGGAGGGAGGCACATGGCAATTTCTTTCATTTATTTTATTGGAAAGAGAAGGCTTGAGCCCCTTGCCCGCTTTTGCCCGCATTCCAAAATTAGACTTCCCATTTATAATCTAGGGGTCACTGAAGTTAATAATCCAGCTGATTAATGTGGATTTTGGATCACACCCTCCATGCCGCAAAGCTGAATTAATGAGGTTATTTTGTATTTGAAACAGCGGGATGCTGAGCTGGGTGTTTCTAATTTTCCCCTTAGAGGCTTTCTTTAGCCTCGCACTGTTCTCACGTTGTGGGACCGGCAGGGTACGTGGTTATGGGGCGAACGAACGTCAGCGTCCTGGCGCCGGGAAGGGGCCGCGGTGACGCTTTGCTCCGTGTGCCGCTCCGCAAGCGGCCGGGCGCTTAGGTGTTAATTCTGACAAGCGCTTAATTACGGAGCTGATGGCTCCACAAGGCTTGACACGGGGACGTGCCGAAGTGCCCCGCTGGATGGCAGCCAGTGCAGCCAGGCCCTCGCTGAGCTGAGGTTCCGGAGCCAAATGTGGGCGACTAGAGGCACCCACACGAAGGGCGCAGGGATGCGCGGCCGGAGCGTGGGCCGTCCTGCAGGACTGGGTGCTCTGCAAAGGAGAGAGCATCTACCTGGCACCTACCCACTGTGGTTGCACTAGGATTTCAGCCCAAAATCTGAGCTCAACTTTCGATATATCACTAGGTTTTATGTCTTAGCTTAGCAGCCACACTGTCCACAGTGTTCCTGGCAGCGTGTATTGAAAATATATGTGGGGTAACGTTGCACTTGCTTCTTTTTATTCCTTAGTCTTTTTGTATTTGCTGTCTGCTTATTTATTCTACCCTAACTGCTTACAAAGAATAAATCTGCAGTTCCTATCATAAACATCACAGTGCAAAGCTGCTATACGTAGAATGGTTGTCTTGCAAAACATAGGTGCAACTGGGTAGATATTATGTATGAAGCAACTTTGACATCTTAATCCATTATAAAAGAAGAGACATACAGATCATTTCCCTGTTGAAGACAGGCATGTTTTTCAATTATCACATGCCACAGTCACAATGTCATAACTTGGGTCTTGACAGCTTTAATATTGTACTCACATTCCTCTCAAATGAGTGCATATCCTCTGCTTCTGTCTTCTTTTTCCTTTTCCTTTTGTGTATTTAAAAATAGGTTGCTAGGGTTTGTCAACGCTCAAAGCCCACCTGGCATTCAGGGAACCTCCCAGTAATTAACACGAGTCATAACTCAGACTAACGAGGGACCTGCAGGCCCTGCTTTCCCACCAGAATCCCCCTGGCTTTGCTGAGCCCAGAAAGACAGTGAAAATCCAAGAAGTTAGAGTGGAATGACTGAATTGTGTAAGATCAGGGGAGTTCTCCTCCTCCCCATTTCTAATGTGAACAGGAAAAATAAACAGGTATAAATCAATGCAAACCAATATCTGCAAAGTCAGTGGTGAGCACAGTGCGTTTGCATTTTGTAGGTGTTTTTGGTGGTGTTGCTGGTCAGGTTGTTTTCAGCTGGCCCAGAGAGGTGACGTCTGAAGCGAAGGTGACTTTGCAGCTCTCTCCTGCCTGGCCCAAGGTCTGGGTTTATGCTCTGGTTTGTGGGGGGGAAGCACAGGGGGAACCTGCTGCCTATTCCATAAGGGCAGCCCTGGCCCCTCTAGATTTTGTGGGTCAAAAATGTTTCTTTTGGTGAAGTAGCTGCTCGCTGATGGGTTTAAGTACAAGTTCAGAGCTGGTGAATGGTCCTGATTAGAACACTGGAAATTTCTGCCTAATTACAGATTGCTACCAGGACAATAGTAAGATGAACTATTTTTTCTCATTTTCCCTTGAAATTGATAGATGGAAGTACTTCAGTTCCTGTGGCCTATTTCTTCCTGCTGCAAGGGCCTTCCCTAAGCCCTTGGCTTGATCTCTGCTGTCTTAAAATTTCTTCCAACCTTCATTTCACCTTCTCGGGGACGTTTGGGCAGAAGCTTTTAATTTATGCTGTCCCAGTTTTGCCTATCCCTGGATTTTGAGCTTGCAGTAGACCAAGGGGTCGGTGCTTCCAAATGAAATCCAAGTTCACTGCTCTGAAGTTTCTCAGGGAATGAGAAATCTGTTTGATTAAGGAATCTCTGCCTCTGGAAGCCTATCAGGCTGAGTAACTTTGCAAGCCAGGGCTGCAGAACATCTAATTAAATGGAACTGCTCTCTAGAGGATTTGGCTTGCAGAAAATTAGTTTTCATGGGCTTGGCCTGATGTTTATGAAATGTTTCTTCCTTCTTTTCTCTTCTTGGCAGTTTTCATCTGCAGCTTCATGGTGGCAGCGCCCATCTTTGGTTACCTTGGTGACCGTTTCAACAGAAAGATCATTCTCAGCTGCGGGATCTTCTTTTGGTCAGCGGTCACGTTTTCAAGCTCGTTCATCACCGAGCAGGTAAGTTCTTTGCGCTGGCACTTGGTATCTGCTGCTGGGTGTAGAGGCTTGAGTGGGACAGACCCCTCCGGTGGCGTCTGACCTGTGGCTCGTTGCTGCGTCGGAGCTTCTGCCAAGTGGGAGCTCTGTTATTGTTTCTTCTTCTCTGCGAAAGCTGCTGTTCTTTGTGCATGCAAGTTCCTAAAAATAACATGAGAAGCATGGCTAGGCAAGTGTTCCTGTTGATACAAGGGCTTTGCTTTGAGGGGGAGTGTAGACACTTAAAAAAGGCTTTAGAAAAGCTCAAAAATAGAAAGTCTGTGGCTATATATAACCAATCGTTGAGGATGGTTGGAAAGTGTGCTTACAGCCAGCCACCCCTTTAGAGTGTCTCCCTTTAGAGGAGACTCCTCCTTCCATTTGTTTTCTTGCCCATTCTGGAAAATGCAGAAGGCCACGTGTAGAAGCTTTAAGTCTGCTAATTACTGTGGTCTATAAGGGGCCAAGAAGAATCCTTTCTAAAGAAAGAGTGGTTTTTATTTGCACATGCAGGCTTCTCTGCATAGCCTGCTTTGAAGCCAGTAGTGATTGTAGCTAAAATTTTTTGAAGGAAGCAATCGCACACTTACAAACACTTTTCATTTGGGGAATCTGCATGCTTGCTTAGGTCCTCCTTGTCTCTGTAAGGGACCAAGCCCCGTAGTTACAAGTACTGAGGGAGCAGTTGCTGAGAACTGAAACCACCCTGATGTAATCTGTGTTGTCAGGGTGGATTTTTAGTTTATGTTTTTTGGGCTTGTTAGCTGAAGTAGTTCAAGGATTAATATACATCAGTGTACAGAGCTTGGAGTGGAAATGGCATATTTTTAGCCCAAGGGAGAGAGAATTACATTTTTAAAGCTGGAATATGTTTGAACTCCAAACCCAAATGTTTGGAAGTTGCACGAGAGCCAAGATCAAAGAGCGTGACCTGTGTAAAACCCTCCTGGGTTTCCATCAGCCCCAATTCCACATAGGGGCACGTGGGCCCATACCACAACCTTGGGCATGAACTTCCCAACACTGAGCTAACTTCCACGCAATGATTTTTCTGTGATCTTCAGCTTTACCATAAAGGTTTTCTCTTCGGACAGAGGGCTCCTGCCCAGCCCTTGTTACCAAGCCCAGCAGGTTATGGAAAATCTGCAGCTACTGGATGCAGCAGTTAAACAATGTCAGAACATGAAAACCTGAGGCTAGAATTGGCACAGGCTGAGCCCATGAAAATTTTGCACAAAAAAAATCCTCTATGTGGAGAAACAAAATACTAAAGTAGGAGAGAAACAAGAGCCATTCAGTAGATACAGCCCCAGGGACTGCAGGAATGGCCTTTCTCTAGATTTTGACAGTGCCTTGTGCATGTTATCTCTAGGTAATTAATAGAGGAGGCATCCACCTAGTTAAAACTGGGACTGGGAGTGGAAAGAGGGCCTCACAGAGGCAGAAAGCAGCCGTGGCTCTGGTGGAGGCCGAAGACAACTCATTTGTAAAGGATTTTTGCAGTGCACTGGTAATGCTTGTTCTTGATTAACATTTAGACAGTTACAGGCAAATAATCAAAATGTGATAGTTTGAGTGCAGATCTACATTATTTATTGTGGAAACGAGGATACAGAGAAAGACATTTTAATTCATATCCAGCCTACTGACAGGTTGTCAACGAAGAAACATCCATATAACAAGAAAAGAGCATGGAGAGGAAAAATTCCTTTAGATGAATGGGATTTGAACTGAGAGAAAAAAAAAAAAGATTGCAGCACAATAACAAGCAGTTTATCTGAGATACTGTCTAAATGCTATTTCATGGTGATTGGGTTCAAATTATAGAGTGACACTGAGTGAGCAGTGACAGCTAAAGCAGGAGCTCGGATGTATTTGCCATACTGATGTATAGCTGCTACAGACCACTGCTTTACAGTTTGTAACCACTTATTAAATAGCCTTGGTTATTTATTTTCCAAATATCTTGGGGCTTTTCACAGGAATAATGAACTTCAAATGAATGAAGAAGGAATCTCTCATCTGCCAGTAGCTACTAAGTAATAAAATAACAGGCTCTTATACGAAAAAAAGAAAAGCAGCCCAAAATTAAAGGGGTAGTTGCAGAGTATATGGGAGGTGGTAGCTCTGGGGAAATAACCAAGCGTTAATTTCATGCCTAACAAAACAGCAAGAAGACAAAGAGACACTTACATTTTTGATACAGTGCATTTAAAACCAAGTAAGAAACTCAAATGAACACATCAGAGGGTGATCCCGTACATCTGGTTTTCTGAATGCAAATAGCTAATGGTGAATTTAACTAAGGAAAATAATCAGAAGTAATATGCCCAGGATCATATAGAGAAGCTCATTTTGTATTCTGCTAAGTAAAGTGATTTAACAATTAGTACATTAGTAAGAACAGGAGAAGAGCCTTCCTGCAATGATTATGACTCTGTAGTTGATAGTTACATGTTTCTGCTCCATAAAACTTCTCGGGACTTGCTAAAATGAAAGTTACATAGGAGGTCATTAACAAGCTCCTTCATTAATCTAAACTAGGTACATATTTAAATGAATGTCCAGATTAACTCTAGTTACAGGAGACTAAATCAAATATGTGTATATCTTAATTTGTGCTTTATAAGTGCTTAGAAATTATCTCCCCTTATGCCTTCCTGTGAAATAGTTCTGCATTTTCATATATACAAATATATACAGGTTTCTATACTTCCACCTGAAAAAAATATATTTTGTTTTGATTATTGGAAAATATTTCTGGTTACTGCAACCACGCTGGCCATGGGTTCAGGCGCTGTAGTAGATCAGCGAGCTGCGGCACCATGCGGTCGAGTCCCGGGAAGCGCTCGGGACACACGGGCTCCGCGGCGTTTCCTCGCGGAGACACCTCCCCACCCACACACACAGCCCAGCACGGGAGCACGCAGCCCCGGCCGCTCCGTTTCTCCCTTTCCAGGTGGCACGGGGCGAAGCCGCTTCGCTGTCGGATTCATCACGTCGTGCGCTGAGGGTTTGTTGGTGGATGCTTGGATGTCCCCGATGCCGTTAGCCGTGACACCAGTGCTTAGGGACAACCACTTTGGCCAGAAATTCATCCTAGGGGAACCTTTCACACCTTTCTTAGCATAGATTGCTGATTTTGCCCCTCTCCCTAGTGGGCAAAAAGCAATTTCTCAAAGCAAGAAGGAGTTGGAAGGTGGGAAATTGCAAACTGTTCTCTTAGTCTTATGAAGTACTGATGCTTCCCATGTAAATAACTTGGAAAAAAAATGCGCAAGAAGGATACTATTTTACAGATGATCAGAGTATTTCTGCTCAGCGCATTTTGGCTGCGCTAGGCTAGAGGCCCAGGTAGACCCGCTGATCAGCCGGAGGACACTGGTTGTGTGAATTAGCTGGGAGACACCAGAGCTGCAGATGATGAACATGGGAAAGCAAAGAGCAGCAAGGTAAACCAGGAACGTGCTTTTGAATCCTCCACCTCCTTGCTTGTTTCTACATTTCTGCTTAAGCACTGATATACCTTGATAGGTAATTCTACAAGTGTTTTCTTTTTCTTTTGATTTACCTAGAAAAGAGAAAGCCAACAGGCCACAGCGGAGCTGCAGTTTGCCTGCAGCACTCATTAAAATCCTCTCTTCCAGGTTTGCCAGATATGTATTTATTTCAGATCCTTGTCTGTCTTGGAGTGCTAAAAGAGAACCAGCAAATTATGTGCAGTATAAAGCAAATGGCTAGCTGAGGCAATTGTAAAAAAGCTAAACTGAAACCAACTCTCTCCCTACACACAACATGATTCACTCCAAGCAAAAAAAAAAAAGAAAAAAAAATCCCAAGCCCTTGAGGCGTCCAGTGATCTGGCAGGAGTCGTATTGTAAAACACACAGTTCTGTTCTTTTGCTTCTACGCTCTAAGATAAATCCACAGCTTGAAAACAGAAACAAAGTTAAAAGCCTCGAGCCATCTTTTTGTATGTAATAAGGACACTGAGGATTATCTTGGAAACCCTCATGAATTGAGTGGAAACCTGTCTGAGAGACCACAGAAAGAGATTCTTCATGTTCTTGACAATTTGTGTGACCATTAAAGAAATCTGTGCTGGATCTGACACGCTGTGCTCGTGGGCAAGGGCATCCGCTGGCTCTAGTGTGTTCTGCCAGCCTTTAACGCAGTACTGGCACCCTGCAGATGAGGACCTGCTGTTGACATTGGAGCTTGGGCACAGTGATGAAGCGCAGCTTTCCTGGCAGCGGGCACAACGCCGGGGCAGCGCCCCACGCGCGGGCACTAACCCCACGGGGGTTCTAATGCCTGTGCAGGGTGTTTCCTTCATAGCAAAGTGCGTCTTGCTCTGCATCCCCTGCTCTCGGGTTGCCAGCTGGTCTGATGTCCTGCAAAACCTGGATGGAGCGGGTGCTGCAGTAAGGGGAGCTCCTGTCGTTCAGCGGGACGCAGGGAGCTCGCCGTGCCGCTGCCAGGGCGAAGGCAGCGACTGGCACCAAAACATCCCAGCTGCTGCTCTGGGCTCAGGTGTTTTCTGGAGCAGGTGGAGAGAGTTTCGTGCTGGAGGAGGATTGAGAAATAGGCTAGAGGCTACGTCCTTGCTTGCAGTGGTCTCAGTGAGGGCTCTCTGTAATTGCCTTTTTTAGGAAACCATTAGTTTTCTAGGTTATTGGAAGATGTTGAAACCATCCTGGGTTAGTAGTTCTGAGTCCATTGCCTCAGAAGTCTGTGGGAAACTTTTCTGTGTCCTTGTGGGAACGAAATCAAGACCCTGCATCCTATTAAATGAATGTGCCTGTGTTGGATGCTGTTTCTTTGGATCGTGATAATGCCTAGAGACACCAGCTGGGGACTGTGGCGCAGACATGAAAGATCTTCACAAGCCAAAGACTTTTCCAGCTTTGTCCTGTTTTTATGCAGCAACCTGAATTTGCCGTCTCTGGGCTGAAGAGTGGGAAGGCTCAGCTGCTGTGCCA